TTGAACTTCTGATTAGTAGGCGAGCTGGAATTCGGGGTGATGCAGTTGATGTATGAATTACATATTTTAAATTTTAAAATAAAGATAACAGTTGAAAATTTAACAAGGCTGCTGAGCTCAATCTCCAACCATGTTATGAAATATCACGGGAGTCGTGTGATACATCATTTTGAAGTTCCTTATGAGTACTTTGAAACTCAAGGATATACATCACTTCATATATCTTCGATACGATATTGCGCATTGCTATCTGCTGTGTGTAACTTTCTGATAACGCCTTCACTCGAAATGAAAATCTGTACATTGTACATACGCAGCACATACGTATCTGGAAAATTTGAAGACGTAGAAAAAAGTTACTTAAAGAAGTCGTTATCGAAGATTGCCAATACTTTGAACTTTTTTTCATATTTCTTTTCTGTCTCTAGGGACATAATTGATCTGTTGGATCATCATGTAGCTTCAAAATGTGTTACAAAAGAGGTTTATGACTTTGCTCAACATTGACCGAGGACTTTATACCTGGAAGCGATAAGAGAATTTCACTTGTTGACATTCTTCAACCACACATAGAGAAACTATTCCGATAAGTTATTCCTTTATTAAAAATGCGTTTTCTTAGATTTCAATGTTAATTAAGCTAGCAGGTACCTAAAGTCGTATAGAAAATGCTCATATAAGATGAGTTTTTGATACCACACACTTCAAAACTACAATAACGACAAGTATAAAAGCACGCTTGATTTTCTTCAAAATAGTTCCAATGTCTTCTAACGTATTGTTTGAAAGGCAGCCTGCACTCCATTAGAAATTTTTAGTATAGCACATTTAAAAAAAAGGTGGATGCACATTAACCTATTAGACAAAATCATTCTAAAAGAGTAATTCTCTACTCGAAGCTATAATAAAAAAGTAAATCAGCCCCAGAAATCAATAAAGAACTACTTATGTGATTTTCCATTTTCAGTCAGACTTGGTCGCTACTATTTATAGGAGTTACATTTTACGTTCTTCTAGTGCAGGGTTGCTCAAACTTTTTTTGTTGAGGCTCCCCGGACTATAAATTATATTTTCATGCTCTCCTTTACTTTTTCAATAAATACAAAAAAACGCACATTATATAGGTGCAAAGACCTTTATTTTAATTCTAATAAAGAATCTTTAAAAGTTTAAATAAACTAATAATGTTTTTTATCGAGAAACTTGAATAAAATAAGAGTAGGTACTTATGAGACACTTGAGATTACATGTTCTGTATCACTTGGTTGATTCTAGGTTCTGTTTTTGCCAGAACTATCATCACGTCGCTATCTACATCACGATGATTTCGCTGTTCAGTTTTAATTAAAACTAGGCAGAAACGCCTGCCTCACATAAGTAACTTGAAGAAAAAGGACCTAGTATTCGTAAAGCAAGAGAGGCAAGTGTCGAATTACATGCAATCTTTTGATCCAAAATTTCTACAATGTTAAAAGATGGAAGTCATCTTTCATGGACGAATCAGGCCTTCATTCATTTCTCTTCATATTGGTGACTCTGAATTGATGTATCGGCGGAATTCATCTTCCAGCGCTTGCAAATGAGTTTTTAGGTCAGCTTTTAAATTTGCGTCCAGTATGTTATTTTTAATTGCTTCGAACAGTCGAGAAAAAGATATAAGATTTTCAGAAGACACTTTTTGAATCCAAAGTTAATGAATTGATATGAACGCCTGAATATAATCATAATTGCTTATTATAGTGTTGTTTCTGCCCTGAAGTTTCAAGTTTAGCTCATTCAAGGAGTCAAATATCTTAGTTCAATAAGCCAACCTCCATTGAAATGTGTCATCTCTGAACATTGTCAAGAAATCGTGTTTTTCTTTGAACTCAAGAAAAAGAATTACTTCTTATTTCAATTCATAAAGGCAAGCAACATGTTGTCTTTGGACAGCCAGCGTACTTTTGCATGTAACAGAAGAACTTTGGGATCAGAATCGAGATCCTCGTAGAGTGAAGTATATAACCGACTGTTCAAAGCGCTGCTCTTGATGTTGTTTACAATCTTTGTAGCCGAGTCCAAAGTCTGGAGTAATTTCTGTGGCAACGTTTTGGAAGCCACAATGTGTACTAACCATGCGGGATTTTTTTCCTTGAGCTTTTTAGCTAAGCCCCATCGTACACCTATCATTGCAGGTGCGCCATCTGTGCAAAGTCCAATGAGTTTCTTCCAATCCAAATCATTTTTTTCAACAAAATTTGATATTGAATTAAATATATCTTCAGATGTAGTACGTGCTGTCAAAGATTGGAGTACAAAATCTCTTCTTGGATGATATCTCCGCCGACGTAACGAACATAAACTATTAAATGTGCACAATTAACAATGTCGGTGAATTCATCGCAACTAATGGCAAGAAATGGCGATAATTTTACTTTGTTAATAATTTGTGACTTTATGTCTGCTGCAATGTCATCGATTCTACGCTTAACTGTGTTATTCGAAAGAGAGATAGACTCCATTTTTTTGCTCTGCATCTTCTCCTAAAGTTATCTGCGTGGCTTTTAGGACACATGGTTTTTAGTAATTCTTCACCGATAGTATGAGGTTTCTTTTGCTTTGCTATCATAAAAGCTATTTCATGTGAAGCTTTGAGATGCTGCGATGTACCTGTGTGATAACTTCCCAATTTATCCAGTCTCATCCGATTGAGCGATTCTGCTTTAGAAGAAAAAACTCTTTCGTCTTCAATACCAGAGTAGGATGTTGTTTGCTTTCAAATGCCTTTCAAGGCGATTGGGCCTCATGCTATCATTACAGAAAACTTTCACGCGTATCACACACTGAGGCAATTGTAACTCGTCTTTTTCTATGAAGGTAAATCCAAACTTAACGTAATCTTCGGAAAACTTTCTTTTTTTCGCTGCCATTTTGTACCTCTAACAATAAAACTAATAAGTAATAAATAAATAAGCAAAATACCACATGTAATCACTAATTAATAATAATAATAATAAATGCCTTTATTTCCAAACAGTTCTAAAAGAAAAATCAGAAAGAGTATTAACCAAAAAAAAGGAAAATAAAAAAAAAAAATAAATAAAACAAATGCCGACTGTCTGAAAACCACAAGGGGGAGTTCACTATCTAGTGCTCTTCCACTCATCCCTTGAAAATTGTAAGAAACATTATGCCAGTAAATACATCCATCAAGCATATACAAACATCAATATGAACAGCATGTAAGTTTTTTTTAAAAATAAGATAGAACAGTGAGAAATGTGGTAGTAAATTAAAAAAAAAGAAAGTGTAGAATAATATATAGATATATATATATACCCATACATACCGCATAAACAAACGCCAATATGAGCGACAATTAAGTTTGAAAAAAAAGAGCAAGAGAAAACTTGGTGGTAATTTTAAAAGTCTAGAATGATATATAAATACATATACGTACATTATGCATCATATAAAAAAAAATATAAATAAAATAATGGAATGCAAACAAATGAAATTTGAAATTCCTCAGTAAGAATAATTCTACTTTACACATTCAAGGTAAGAATCACGCAAAACCGCTTTGAACTTGTGAATTTCATATGATTTGAGATACTGGGGAATAGGATTGTATAGCTTTATAAATAAAATTTATTTCGGTGGAATGGAGCGGTAATGTTTTGTTTCGAACGAATATTTGCGGAATGGATGTCTTTTCTGAATGTTATTTCGTCGTAGAGGGCCTGAGAGTTAAAACTTTATGTTAAAAAGCATATTGTGAATATCTCAAAACGAGCCTTAATATTTAGCCACCGGAGTTCTTTCAGCTTATGACTAACTCTTTTAAAATTTTCTTATGCCATATATAAAACGTATGCATGAGTTCTGTGTTCTCTGTATTCGCATGAATGTATCACAATCTAAACATGCAGAGTAAATTGGAACACAGCACGAAAACTGTGATAAAACCAAGGTTTCGCAAAGAATTCTTTTGATGTCTAAATTGAGAAAATTTCGGTGAGGATACAATAATTTTAGAGCCAGATAAGATTTTTTGATACAGTTTGATATGTGCTCACGAATAACGTAATGTATTCAATAGTGTATTGGCCACCGGGAAATTTATATTTTTGTAGCCAGGTTGACGTTATAATAGTAATTTTAATACATCTGGAATCAATATTAGGTACTTAAAGTTTGTCGTTTGAAAATTATTTCGCCACGTTGGTTTGATTGTGATGTGGTAAAAAAGTGCTAATGGCCGATCTATCAACGCATCTCCAGTCAATCAACAATTTAGTAAATTAAATAAAATGGTAACTGAAGTTCGTAAATACATAAACTTACCTTTTAACAGTGAGTCACAATAATTTGTCACACTCAAACAGATTTCTCAACAAAAGATGTAAGTACATCGAATCGTCAAATTTTTGGCAAGTTTGTGGAAATGAATGTCACAGGTACACAATTGTTTTCTAAGTGATGAATGTTAAGTGGATCACGGCGGGGGTGCGTGCGGATTTCATGTTGTGACTTGTCGAAACTTGTATAAACTGCGATTGACGATGCCAGGCTTTGGAACAGCGGTTGACAGAATAAGTGAATATGATATTTAATTTCTAATTTTATGTATGTAAATTAGACATTACATAGTAATGTTATTTGTTAACGTTGTATGCTTATTTTTTTGTTTTTTCTTTCTAAAATGCAAACGCTTTCCGCCCCCCCTTGAGATCTCTCTATGCACCCCCCTGGTTGGGAACTCCTGTTCTAGTGCAAGATCCCACGGATACCAGACGTTACTTATTTTCTGAAAAACAATTCGAGGCGCATTACGTTTATATACCTATACTGCTAACGCCTTCATGCCTACTGATTTGGCTAGAGGGCTGATTGACTAGTACCAGATGAGAAGGGATGAGTAAAAATGAGACTAACTTGAACTCTGATGGATGATTTTTATATTTACTTTGAAAAACATTATCACAAAGTAATATTCCGCACTGTCAGACACTCTTCGTTCGCCCCAATCAATTCCAGGATTAAAAAAGGAGACAAGGCTATATTTTTACAATGCATTGTCTGTCGCCAAAATTGCGTAGTTTCAGTGCATGTTTTATATATACAATAATAAAAATTACCGGTGGAAACATCTTCCTCCATTAGGCCTGTGCTGCTCTTTGCAGATTATGTAAGAGGTACCATGTCTCGTCTAACACCACAATTTTCTGCAAAAACTCGCACTTTATAAAAATAACACGAACATGAATTTAAAGACAGAACTCAAAATAATAACCTATGGAACGTCAAGTAAACTTGTAGTATGAAATATGTCCCTTTTCTACAGGCTATGAGAATTACAAATCCTTGACTGGCTCCGTCTGAATTCGTTGGTCGGCCCTAACTTCTGCAAGGCGCGTTAAACAAGGTGTCCCTCGGTTAATTGACCTCTCTAACTTATTTGTAAAACGGTTTAGACAGAAAATTTTCATATAAGAATAATAGGGTCTAATATAAAGTTTTTCATGCTAGGTTCATGATGTCTCAGAAAAATCCTATCGCATAAAGTTGTATTTTTTAAGTACTGACACCCAGTATACAAAAAAGCATTCCATAAAATTGTTGATAGTAGACTTTATACTTATTGGATGAACCATTTTATTCTTATCGCTCATACAAAAAGTTAAAGGGAACAAATTGTATAAAGAAACAGGCAGAAATTGTGCTGAATATTACTTAGTAATATTTTGAAAAGCCTATTTAAAGCTCAATCGTTAGAATTTAAATTCGTCTCATTTTTACTCAACCCTATGCTACACCGATAGATCTTGATAAAAGGAAGCGGGATCCGGTAGGGCGGGAATATACTTGGAAGGCGAAGCATGAAGGAAAGTTTTGTGCTTGGAACCTGCCCAACGATCTCCCAGAGAGAGATATTTGCCATCTTAATGGTGGCTTACCGCGGAGCATATTCATATGTTTTGGCAGCCAAGCGGCCTTGAAGGCGGTGAGATCTCCTAGGACAAGGACCCCCTTAGTTCAGAAATGCACTACTGCCCTTCAACGCTTAGCCCGACTTAAAGAAGCGACCCTGCTTTAGGTCTCCGGACCCAGCGGAGAGCCGGGCAACGAAAAAGCAGATCGTCTGGATAGGCTGGGGCGAGAAGCACTTGCATCGGTCTCGAGCCTAGGCTAGGCATAAGCAGGAGCTAGGTCAACACGATCCTGAATGGATGGGTGCATATGGAACTGGAAAGACCGTCGCGAGAAAGAGAGATGACTGCAGACAGGCTGCTGGACAGGGGTAGAAAACCACTCAATCTTCTGGCGGCGGTTCTAGCCGGTCGCTAGAGACTGAACAGGCACTTATCCCTTCTAAAGGTGGAAAGAGATCCAACATGCCCCAAGTGCTGGGAGGAGGTCGAAACAGCTTTCCATTCTCTGGGCTATTGCCCCGTGTATTGCTGTCTAAGGGCTGAAATATTCGTGGCCACGGAATCTGTTGGTGAAGTTGCTTATTCAGATTCGATTCGCCTCCCCATCACCACTACTACTACTTAACTTTTTCACACCAGAAAATCGGCCCTCTACCTAACTAAGCAGGTACGCAGGCGTTAAAAGTACATATAAACGTTATTGAGAATAAGTAATTTCTGGCAGCTCTGGGATCTTAGACTATCCATTTTCCGACTATTCTTCGATAGGAGTACATCGAGATTTCCGCTACATATGCTGCTCTGCGCTCTCAAGTACCTAATCCAAATAAAAATGGCATGGTTCACAAAACACTCAAGCTCTACACTAATAGGATTTATCAAACTCCGCAGTAAATCTGCAAGACGCGCTTTTTCTTGAACTCGTATTTATCGTAGTACCTGAATCAACACGCTGGCAGATGCTCGTCTATATTATTTTATTTATTGCTGAATTTTTCGTCCTTATGAATATATTAATAGCTATTTATGTAGATAGGGTTGGGAGATTGTATTCCCAGGAGCGCTGGAGTATGAAACTCCTCGAATTTTGGGAGTTTATTTATAATGGAAATTGAATATAACACAGTTCCCGGGAGCGTTACATTTAAGAATTCATTATCGCTGAATTTTGCTCATGTTTCTAGTAAAGGCAACTAATTTTATATAAAATCTTTTGACTATGTCAATTTCTTCTGTTTATGTAACGAAGCTACG